CAGAACAACATGGAGATCAAATAGTGAGTCAGTGGGAAAAACAAAGGAGAAACTTGCAAATTCTGATTTGTTTCATAGTTCCTCCTGGGCTTGCAACCACACACACACACACACACACACACACACACACGCACACGCACAGGGGGGCGGGGGAAGGGGGGCGGGAGGGAGGGAGGGAAGGAGGGAATGCAGTCTGGTTATATTTATTCACTTGCTTCTCTAAGTGACAAGAGACCCTCACTGTGGCATTTGTCAGTGTGTACATAAATTACACTTTTCAGCTGATGATCTTTCTTAACCCTAAAGGTGAAGTTGTATGTATCACGTTCTCCTTGAGCAATTCAGCACTGACTCACAGTTCTTGTCCCAGGGCTGATTATGCTTTTCCAGACAGTATCAGCAATGCCAGTTACATGAGGATGCCCATATATCTGAACATCACCAAATGTCAACAGCGTAAGGAGTTGTAATTGCCTCCTGAAGCAAGGGATTAGATCTACTTTTCAAATGCATTTTTACCAATTCATTTGTAATTTCTAAGATGACCTTTCTGCTAACTTGTAATTTGATTGCTTAACAGATTAGATATGTAAAGAGGAAATGATATCAATGAAAAATGGTTCTTGTTTATTGGTCAAAGCTGATCAACATGCCTACCTAGTAAATGTCTAGGAGAAACACATAATTCTGATAGAAGAGAAGGACTCCCATGAAATAGTTAATCTCACAGAGAAGCCAAGTCCTTCGGTAAATTCAGGCATTTGAGCATTACAAGTAAAGGCAAAGTGGCAAGTTGCCAAGGAGAAATGAAACAGGTTCCCAGAGATGCTTGTTGCAGGCATGGTGATTTGTGGCAAACTCATTTTCGACAGGAAGTCACTGGGAGGGGGAAGAATCGGAGTAGGACCTGCAGTTGTGTCTACCACTGATCCAGACAAAACAGCAATCAAAACCCAGGAGCTGGCATCCAATCATCAAAGGATGCCAGCCATTGGTACAGTACTATCCAGACAAAGCTGAAAACATCCCAAGGAAGGCAGAATCTCAATTTCGGAAGTTAGAGACCAGAAAACAGCATCTAAATAGCAATATCTGAGCTCAGACAGACACAGTAATAGCATTAAAATAGCCTGAGTTTAACTGTAAATCTTGATGATACAACTGCATACGCGGGGTAGTGAATTTGCAGTGTTCATTTGCTTTGCTGCCTTTTAAACAGTATACAAGTGTATTGTGCACACACATACAATGATGCCATTATACTATGGCAGTGGTTGGGGAAATGGCTACAGCTTGATTAATTGTAGAACAGAACTGCTTGACAGCAGAGCTGTCAGATATCAAAACACTTGCCAGG